TTATCGCCAGGGTAGTGGGCCTGCTGGCCACAACACACATTTTGTGATGAACTTTATGGTTCCCAAAATTACCGCTTTTACTGATTTTTAACTTAATTTCTACAAGTTATGATTTCCTGTTGGGGAGGAAATCCTCTTTTTCTACCTTCTTTCCCTGCTTCAGTGTTCATCCTACTTAATGTTACATTACCTTTATTTTTCTTTTCATTCTTCCAAGATTTTGGGAGAACTACCAGCACTTCAGAAAAAGAAAATATATTTAAGGGTGGGGTAGGATAGAATATTAGCAAGGACTATTCTTTGAAAATTTATCTTTACTTGAGTAAGACTAATTAATAGAAAGTGAAGCAGGCTGACTTGGTTGTTTTCAGTTTTATACTAGTTTTCTGTCTACTTTGTACAAATGTAGCTGCTATAGTCTAATTCTGCATTTATCCTCTGAAAGTAGTGGTATGGGAGATCGAAACTACCTCTCAGAAATTCTTCTCCTTGTTATGAATACAGTCCAAACTGATTATCATCTTGAGTCTGAACTTTGATTTCATACCTGAGGCAATCTGCGTTAGGATTGGCAGCCATGTCATAGTTACCATTTGGAGTGCTCTATCTGGAGATTGTATTTAAAGTTGGTTTATTCAGCTAGCTCAGGATTCACTTGGTTGTGAAACCAACCATGTGCATCAAAGCTGAAAAGACCTAGATTGCAGTGGCACTGAATTAATTTTCCCCTGTTCATTATTCCATGCTGCCTAAGATGTACTGTTCCATGTACTGTATGTGTTAGCAAAACTTGTTGGCATGCGAACAGAACTGTGCCTATGGTTATCAGCTGTTTAAATATGGGTTTAATCAACTCACATCAAAACCAGATATTTAATACAGAATTTCAGGACACCTGCTACATCACAACTGATGTCTTGAATCATATAAACACAATGACAATGGATATTAAAAGTTTGGACATACTATGAAGGAAACAGTGACTTGTGATAATACCTACTTCTTCATTATAATTAATACTTTTAATTATTGTAATTGAGAAGTAGCCTCTTTATTTTAACAGAATTGTGGCCTGCATCTCATCAACAATATAATTCAGTCAGAAACTTGCATTTCCATAAAAGGAGTTAAGTGCATCCTTAAATCTACCTTTTTAAATGTGATAAGTATAGTTCCATAACTTAAGTTTGGATTATTCCCTTGGTGTATCCATACATAAAAGCACGAAGGCCAAAGTTAAAAATGTACTCTTGCTCACACTAATTTTTTTAATCATCTAAAGCAGGAGTGGGGAACATGGCCCTTTTTTGACTTGTGGACTTCAACTCCCAGAATTCGTGAGCCAGCCATGCTGACTCCGAAATTCTGCAAGTTGAAGACCACAAGTCATGGGCCATAGTTCCCCATCTCTGATCTAAACAAACAACTAAAACTTCTTAGCACCTCACTGTTGAGGGATCAAGAATTTTCACACAAGCCTTTCTAGGAAGATCAGCAGAGCAAATGAGGTTGTTTGATTTGTAGAATTCGGGCAGAAGGATTTCTTGATCAGATCCAATATTGGCACTTGTGCAATGGAACTTTCCTTTTCTCTCTATCCCAACACTCCCAAAATCTCTTCTGGAAAATCCAGGGCAAGGTCAGGATTCATGAGGTAATTTGTCTCACTGAAAGATGCTATTCTGTGAGTGTGGGAAAGACACTGGGAGGATTCAGCTGCATGTCTTGCACTAAAGTCCTGAGCTGCAGTAATTAATGCTTTTAAAATAAGGGGGAATGGGTATCACTTGTAGGCTGTGTCAAATAAATAAAAATAGACTTACCTTAAAGTGATAATCCTATATTTTAAAGCTGCCTTAAAAATTCTTAGCCTTGGAGCAAAAATGCTTTAATTTTTTTTTCTTTTCTTCTTGTGTCTTGTTCTACAGCACTGTATTAATAGAACAAGTAACTGAAGTAATAGATAATTGTTACTTGTCTTTTGGAGGGTCCTGTGGGAAATCAGACTTTTTTGTCATGAGATATCATCTATGATGACATGCCAAATACTGCATCTCAAGCTGAAAAAAATGTTTTTAATGAGTATATGAAAGCATGGTGTAAATGTATGGGGTATATCTGACATATCATTACTATCTTAAACTAAATAGATCTTTTACAATTGCAATATACATTGGTTATCTTTGTAAAGACAAGCTTGCAATACTTTTATTTATTCTGATGCTATTAAAAATATTTCTGTGGATGATAGGAATTTGCTAGAATGAGTGTTTGAAAACTACATTTGCTATATGTTCCAAAATAACACTTGGGTAATATTAATGTTTGGTCAGTTGTTTTATTAGCTTTATTTTACACCAGTAGCAACAGCCTGAGACAATTGGGAAGTTATGATTTTCCTTGCACTTCATCTTAGGGAACAATTCATGTTAAAAACAGCATGGCACCATCCAGTATGGTAGAGGAGGGGAGGGTGAATCTAGGCAAAATTAACATGTTTTGAAAATCTGCTGACCGTCATTTTAATAATGCCCATTCCAAGCATCAAACTATCTGATTTTGAAGGGAATAGTGTTCATGAAGCAAACCGTAAGGATCAGGAATTTCTTTTAGAACATAGCAGCTCTTGGCTAGATTAATTATTACCTTCAGTTGATGGGAACATTTCATTTTGGTTTGCACTCCCAAAACAAGTGTAAGTAGGCTTCCTTTGAAATGACATTAAACCAGGTTGTCATGCATATGTAATCCTCAGCCATATATATGATAGTTTGCCTGGTGCTTGAAAGCTTTTGCATCATTGCAATTTGAACTAGTTACTGTAAATGCTAGAACAGAAAGCTGGCTGGCAATGATGGGTCATAGTGACTGGGCTGCATTTGATTGGTCACTAGATATGCAAGTAGAGGAATATTATAAAAAAAACTGCACCTCAATGTTTGTGTGTATATATGTGTATGCGTGTGTATTTGGGTATGTATATATATTATGGACATGTGAGTGTGTATAAACACACGCATGTGTGTTATGGTATGTTTTCTTCTCTTACATATGCTCATAGTACTTGCTATATTTTAAGTTATTGAAGCAAATTGATAAATCTGCAGATCACATAGTTGTTTTCTCCCAATTTATTCTGAATTTTTAATTAACAGAAGAAAAAGAATATAATTAATTTTTAAAGCTTGTAAGAATAGATATGTTAGTGGTATAAATTCAGTTCATACAATCAGACCGCAACAGTTTAATTAGTTTGAAACCTCTCCCCCTTTTCTACAATATACAGAGTCTACTTTTCCCTTTCTGGACAATTTTATGACCTAATTATTGGCTATTTGACTGGGGATTATGGGAACTATCATTACATGTAGTAAAATTTTGTGCCTAATATTTTATATGAATAAACCTTATTTGTTACTTTAAGCATTTATTGTGAAATCCTTGTTATTTGTGTGAATATACATACAAATACTCTTGTATTTCTTCAAGGGCTGTGTTGTAATTCCTCTTCTAGTAAAGTGGATATCTACATAAAGTTTTGGTTGTATTTTCTCTTCCCTTGTGTGGACAATCTTCTTAGCGTGAAACAGTACCATAAGGGAATAGAGGAATTATTGCTAATGTTGACACTTGGCTTAAGTATAGCATATAGATTACAATTCAATGTCCCCTCATACAAATCTCCAGATATTTCGTCAAGTCTAAGATGGATTATAAATGTGATGGGTCGAGAGGGCAGGCACTGCTCCAAAGAAGTTTCACTTCCAGTGTTCTGAAATATATATTTTTAATTAATGGAATCCACAGCACAACAACCCTAACAGATTGAACTCCCTGGGCAGATACCATTACATAAATAATTGCATAATACTGTTGTATTAATAGACATATTTCTTATAAGTGAACATTAAAGCTACATAGTACATTTTGCAAAGCTGAAAACAGTATAAGTACTCTCCACAAAGTCTTATTATATTATTATCTGAGTCATCAGATAATAATACATGAGCAGGAACCATTTAAAGTATATACTAATATTTCCAACATTTTTATTCTAATCTTGCTGAAATATTTCAGAATCCTGCCAGCATGAATGTTGACAGATTCCCCCCCCCCCCGAAGGTATATATGCCTTCATAAGACAGATGCAGAAACAAACAGAAACCAAGAGAATAAGTTAAAAATATAATTACAAATCTAAAAAGAGGAAACAGAATAATTTGAGTTTGAGTCCCAGGAAACAAAGGTGCTTTGGACCATGTACGAGCATGCACATTGCATGTCAGCAACTCCTTGAATGATAGAAGTACAATAGTCAATTTTGCACTGCACCTTTGGACAGAAGTGGTGAGCTTCTTCCAATTAAACAGAGATGAGATAACCATTTGTTATTATTTTACACTAAGCAGAGAATTGAGCTAGATATCTTCAATGGCCCTTCCAAATCATTGAGTCTGAGATGAGATTCACTCAGATAACTAAGCAAAGTATCGACAACACATGAGCCCCTCTGATGCTCTTTGCATCTACTAAGATACACAAGGCACATTGCATCACTAACATCTTTAGGAATGGAATCTTTTAACTTCATGCTTTCATTTTGCATGTAGACATCTGGCAGGAATGTGATTTAGAAGGAACATTTTGTCACATTAATATTTTATATTGTCATATAAGAGGCACTTCAGCCTATGCGATTCTCTGCAAGTGACCGGGAGAGTTGGTTGGCCAATAATCTGAAGTGATCACAGAGGAGTATCTCAGGCAAAATAATTATTGCCATGCTGAGATTTTCTCAAGGATACTTTCATTTAGGCACTGTAGCATTAACCAGTATTGTAAAGATGGGCCACCAGACCTAAAACTTTGGATGCAGGAATAATTAATGTATTACCAATTTACTGGTGTCATTATTATTAATATTCCATAGTAAGACTGTATGCAGTAAGACCACCCAAAGTTTCATTTAGTTTCATTAGTTTCATTAGTATCTTTAGTTTCATTAAAACGTGGACATATGATTGCTCTTTCACTACTTCAGTCCTCAAGCTTTAGGTGAAGATGAACATTTGTGTATAATTATTTTCTTTTCCATAAAGAACATTCTCATTTGACTCCATAGGAAATGTTCATATAAGAGAGTTTCCTGTAGTTGTATCTCTCTGGCCAGGGTTCTGGATTGTCTTTCAGCATGCCATGCTAGTAGACTTTTTCTTAGAAACACTATAGTTTTATAACCTAGCCCCTAGGTAAATTTTATGGTCATATTGGTATAGTTGTGAGTGGCTTCAGCGACAGTACTCTTGCTCTATTGTTGCCATCAGCTCCTCTTCAGAGCAGTCGTAAGATATCTTGGCCTGTCTCTCTGGCTTATTGAGAGGCAACCTGCAGATTTATGGGAGAAAGCAATCAGGAACAAAAATAATAAAACAAGTTAAAATTAGGCCTAATTGAGCTAGCAACATTTTATCTTCCAATTTCCCTTTTAATTAGCTTATGTACCTAATTCTCACAGTGTTTTTGAACAGGTTGACATCATTTAATTTTAAACAAAATGGAACTCATTACATGGAAGAACAATATGATTTGAAAGGGGCCATGAAAGGAGGAATGTGTGCCAGTTCTAGGGCAGTAATAGCAAATCTTTTGGGCTCAATCTGTCAAAAATTCAGAAAATGCCTAACCTGATTTTGCTGACATTGCTTGTACCTCTGAACAAAAGAAAAACAATTTTCTATATTCACCCCACCCCACCTAGGCCACTCTGAACAGCAGCATTCAATGGTAGGGCTACATTGGGTCTGAAGTAGAGGCCCAGGCCTTCACTTTAGTCCTAACACCACCGTTGCAATTCAAAATGAACCTAGGGGAACAATGTGATTACCCTCATAAACCAATGTTTTGCAGGATCTGCATGCTGCTCACTTTCAAGTGTTGGTCTCTTTCTCTTGACAGGCCCGAGGCCTACCCAGGTCCCATGTTCTTGAAATGACTTTGGAGAATTCTCTTCCAGGTCCTCTGCAGCCTCCAAAAGTGCAAAATCATACCTTATTCTTGCACTATTTCCAGAGGGCCCACAGGTTGTGTGAAAGTACATATCTTTTTTGTATTGCCCCCATTGCCTCAGAAAATTGTGAGAGAATGAGGCATGCTTTTGAGAATAGTTGTCGGGTGTTGGTGAATGCTGGCATATCACCCGAAACATTGTGGCATGTCACATTTGACACTCACGTTGTAGTTTTGCCATCACTTGCCTAGGGCAAGAATCTCTGACTTTTTCTAGCTGAGGGATATTCTTGGAAAGTTTAGGGTACACAGGGGCACACTGTAAAAATTGTTCAATGTAGTCTTTCCATATTTTTTTTTTAAAAAAATAAAGCTTTGTTTTTATTCTGGTGTCTCCTACACATTCTCTATCTAGTACCCAAAACACTACAGTCATCAACATGTACAGCATAATGGGGACAGGGACCCAGTTGGTAAGGAGATCAAGACAAAAGCAGAATAATTATTCTGGAAGAATAAATAGATTGAAATGTCATGCTACATTGGAAAAGCTTCTTTAAACTGTGATTATAATTAGAATCCCCATAAATGAAAGAAGAAATGTACCAACAATGTTCAGGAAACAATTCTAAAATGTTTCCTTCCTGAATGAAAAGAAAAAGAATGTTAAAAGAAATCTAAACTATAGCAGATTTATAATCAAATGGATGGCCAATGCATGTGATCTTCTTCAACCATTCTGTATCTAAATTAAGAAAACAATGTTGTGATTAAATTCAGTCCCTCCATCAGTTTTCTTCCATAAGCATATGGATGGTCTGAGAGATATAATAAGGAAAACAGCAATTTAATCTTGTTAAGCTGTCATTGAAAGAAAGAAAAACACCTCCTTGCTACAATATTTCCTACAGAAATGTTTGTAGAAAAATGTGAAGAAAATTATTACTGAACCACGCTGACTAACTGATGAAAGCACGGGAATGAAAGCTCTTCTTCATTTCTGCAAAGGAGTACACTGATGTCTCCACTCCCAGTTATTTGATTCACGATAACTTACTGATTGGCAAAGTTATTGCTCCCTGGTGTAGATCTTGTTAAGAAACCCTGAAAAACACATGAACATAATAACACTTTGATAGCTATGGCAAAGAAACACAGATTTACACCTGCTAGTAAATCTCATAATGACATACAGTACATCTCTGAAAGCAAAACTAATTTTTGACAAGGAAGATGAGTAACTCTGATATTCCTTTATGTAACCATTCTGATTGCTGGGATTAGAAAAGTTGATGACTGTATACAGTATACAATATATATTTTACATTTAGCTTTTCTAGTTCTAAGACAAGATAATGAGCAGGGGATTCACACAGACACAAGCTAGAATACTGTTGAGTTGAAGAACATGCATCCTTGCCAATAAAAATCCTAAGCATATGAAAATATTAGCAGCAGAGTAAATATGTTGGGAGGATGGCAACATACACATATTCATGTGTGCACTCATGCCAAGAGTCGGAGACAGGGATGCCACCTCTGTTCTCCTAACCAGTGTCCAGACCAAGGTAAATACACTAATGGCATAACTTAACCTAAATCTTCCTGCTACTCCAATCAGTTTAGATTAACAGATATACCGGAGTCTACGTTAATGAGCAAAGTTATTAGGTTCATCTAACTTTGAAAACAGAATATGATGCGGGTTATTCATTTATTTATCAAACTTCTTAAATGCTCATGTCCCACATAGAGATCAGATTAGCAATCATACTAACAACCCTACTGTGAGAAACTTAAAATCACATGTATGGTTTGTCTTCTTATTGGCACATTTCTGAGGTGAAGGGCAGATTTTGTCTCTTAGTGCTGGTTTTGGAACAGATCAATGATGTTGTGGGGACACAGCAGAAAAATAATGTTGTCAGGGCATGCTTGTGCAAATGGGAAAGGGGCCTTAAGGACAATTAAAAATACCTCATCTTTTAAACTATATTTGAGAGACAGTACCACATCTTAGGACTGGATTTTGGGCACCCTGAACTGAACTGTGTAACATCTCTTTGAGTCCAGTCAATCATTCAGTTTCCTCTCTTTCCTATAGGCCAGGAAGATCTCTGCTATCTGTGTTTGAAAATCTTGCAAGTATAGAACCTGTTATTAAACAAGTAACAATTCTAACACATGAATGGAAAAGCTGAACAACAAAACAAACTCCATGTGGTCTGTATCAATGCTTTCTTAGAAAATGTCCTATTTTCTGCTGGTATATAGTATTAAATTTCAACTCATACTGCCATTATCACAGTCTATTTGTTCACCTACAGTTTAAAGTGGCACCTGAGCATGCAAGCAATCTGCTATTCTCGTGTCCAGTGCGTAGGTAGTCCTTGAATTACAGGTAGTCCTTGAATTACAATAACATTTGGGACAGGCAAATTCATTGTTAAGTGGCAATATATGACCATATCTAATTTTATGACCTTTTTGCTATGGCTGATAAATAAGATATCATGTGACTGAGATTTGTGACTTTCCAGCTTCCCCACTGACCACTGGCTTCCCCTGCCAGCTTCCCCACTGACTTTGCTTGTCAAAAACTGGCTGGGAAAGTCACAAAGCACAATCAATTGACTGCAGGATGCAGCCATTAAAAAACCATTGATTCAGTTGCTGAATCACAATCATGTGACTATGAGGATGGTTTGCAGGGCACTTTTTTCAGTACCGCTGTAACTTCTCACCAGTGGTAAACAACTGTAGGTTAAGAACTACTTGTAAATACCTTTGTACCTTAAACTATAAATTGTTCCCCTTCCTCAAACAATGTGTTTCTACTCCTCCAAAATACATAAAACCTATAGCAGGGATCTTCAAACTTGACAGCTTTAAGACTTGTGGACTTCAACTCCCATAATTCCTCCTCCAGTCATGTTAGCTTAGGAATTCTGGGAGTTGAAGTCCACAAGTCTTAAACTTGCCAAGTATGAAGACCCTTGATCTAGCATATTGTCACCTACTATTGTTACTATGGAGACAAGGATGCATGTAACCACAGCACAGCTCAGGAGTTTCAAAGTATAGGTTCACCTCCTTCCCTCTGATCACTAGCTGGTATCCATCACCACACACCCATCTCTTGGGATTGGGTCACAGGGGGGTTGTCTTTTTTGGTTTTCAGCCAGAGTGGGGGAAAAAAAAAACAGAGGACCACAGGACAGAGAAGATCAGCTTCTCTGAATAATCACTTTCCCTAGTGCACTAATAGATGAGGCTAGCCGTGGTCAATTTTAGATACTTAGCAATCCAGAAGTCAAGTTGGCCTACAGTTATCTCCAGCACATAACGTAAATACCAGACTCTGGTTCACAGGCTATTTCTGTCATAGGATGTCCCTAAGCATGTCTAATTATATCTGTCTGACCTGGAATCTGTCTTGGAGTTGGTCAGTTACTTTTAAGAGCCAGGTTAAATTATATTTAATTCATTTACATTTTTAAAAATGGCTACACACAGATTTATGATTGGGTGCCATCTCCTTATGTCTTCCTTTCATCCTTCTTTAGTCCATCAAGTGTTCAAATGGTGAGTAGAAGGAAGAGCCAAGGAATTAGTACAGAGAAGGCAAGAGAAAGACTCATCCTTGGAATCTGACCTACCCTTTGGACCAAATTACACCTGATACAAGAACAGATATTAATATTTGTAGCTCAGGGTTGACATGAGCGGTTCTTGGTGCTCTCAGAGCTTGTTTTCTGGCAGATATTTCATTACCCAAACTAGGTAACATCATCAGTGCCAGCAGAGTAAATATCCTGCTGGATGATGATGTGCCAAGAGCTGGCTGGCTGGCTGGGTAGGTAGGTAGGAAGGAAGGAAGAACTAACTAACTAAGCTGTGAAAACTGGTCCATTTGCAAATACAAAAAATGCATTTTGGCAAGGAATTGCAATGATTGACAGAGGCATAGGAGAGGCCCCTGGGTTAACAATACTCAGTTTTAGCCAACTTTGTGTATAGGGCTTTAAACTCACATTGCAGTAGGAATGTGACCTCCTAGGAATACTGAGGCATTGCTTTCCTTAAAACTTCCCCAGAAGTTCCTGGAGTACAGTATCAGGTTCATACAAGAAATCCAGATTTTAGTAATACAGTATGGAATCAATTACTGATTAAGGAGGCAGCCACAAGAGGGCACTTCTTTATAAAGACTTTGCTAAAATTAGAAAACAAGGATTCTTTCTACCAACAAAAATCTGAAACTAAATTAAGCATATCAGTTTGGCTTTCTGAATCCAAATGTCATTTTCATCATTTGGTTGATTAATAAAGGCCTCAAAGAAGTCCTTTGACACAGGAATATCTCCCCTAACAAAAGCATGGAATTTTTGCATTAATTACATCCCAAAGGCAAACACAGACTTATAAATACTGTAGTTAATAAGCTCTCAGTGATGAGTCAGAATTGTTTCTAACTGACTAGGTTCTTTCTTCCTTTTTCTTTCAGGACACCAAATGTTCCCAAATGACAAATTGAATAACTGTAGATATTCAGGATATTAAATTACTTCCATATTGTTGCCATGAGAACAACATAGTCATGTAGTTCCCAAGAGTCTAGCTTGGCTTGAATGAGTCTTTCTTTGTTACACATAAAGAAAAAGTCCCAGGAGTTAAACTATTCTAGTTAAATAGTTAGCTTTTTGAACCAATTTTGGTCTAGTCTAGGGAGAAAAAAATGGCTTATGTATGCAAGATGTGTGAAAGTAAATTAAGTTGTACAGCACTCAGGGTAGAATTTATGCTTTATAGTATACAGTATACACTGCTATTGCATTGTATCCTTGTGGTGTCTCAAAGCTCCAATAACCAATGGAAACTTCCACCAGTAAGAGGTAATTTCCTTTCCTGCCTACAGCCCATTCGGAAGCTCCAGAGAGTTTAAGGATCTTCTTGGAAGCTGATGAGGACAAAATTGGGTGACAAGGAATTATGATCGATCCTTTTGTCAATTATATTGTGCAAACTTGTCAACTCAGAACCCACAACAATATATTAGAGAGAACTATGCAATCTACTACAAACTCCCCATTATGTGGCTGGAAACCTTCACTCCTGAATGAAGCTTAGACTAATTTGAGTGAACAGGTGCCATGAACCTTATTCTGTTCTAGCGATGCTGCTTTCCTGATGACCTGTAAGGCTTTGCTTTACTAAGGTATGAAGTTGGGAGCTGTATCTCCAAGCAATACTTGGAATCCTGGCTTTTTAACACAGCCTTATTCGAGAGATAATCCAATGGAGAATTGAGCAAATTTGGAATTGGAATAAACAAGAAACTCAGAGCAATAGTTTGAGCTAGTCTGGGGCCAAATTGTGCCTCAGATGAGAAATGTATTTTGCATCACACACAGACTTTCTACTTTGCAATTATTTTATTTGTAAAATAAATTCATTTCATTAGTTTAATACACATTTTATCTAAATGATTTACATTCATGGATGCTTTCCCCAAATTTTAAAAAAAGTTAATATAGGGGCCACGGATAATTGGTTTTCCACTTCCTGTGTTTCAAGTCTGTTTTAGATCAAAAGGCTTGGACATAATATAACAACCAGATTTTGTGTTTTATTTATATATTTTTTATTTTATTTGAGGAACTAAATGTAGCACAGGCCATTCCTTTCATCCATGTTATGCTCACAATAAATCTCAGTAGGAGGCCAGATTAGTCTTCCTCAATTTGTGTTAGGAAATTTCAATTTTCATCAGCTTCAAATGGCGTGGCTATATTCAAGAATACTGTAGCAAAGTTGACGTTTGAAATATCTCAAAGAACTATCAGGTTTAGCTGCAACAGGTACCTGCTGATCTCAAAAACTTAAGTGGAGTGAGATTTGGTTAGAAACTACTACAAAAGAAGCTAGTGTCTTGGAAAAAAAACATTCTAGAAGGTAACAGCAAACCATTTCGGTATTGGTGCCAAGAAAATAATTTGGACAGGCCCATGAACCCGGCCAGCCTAGCCAACGCAGAAAGATGCTGGGTCTTGCATTAGCCCAGTCTACAAAGACACACATCCCTCCGCTTGGAAATGCAGGGAAAAAAGAGCCACAACCTCTCGGTTGCGAAGAACCAAGGATCCTCCTCTCCTGCCTTTTTTCCCCCCCGCACACAAATATTTTACCCACGTCCCGCCCGCCGCTCGGCCAGCACGTTTACCTCCGCCGCTTCTCGCTGCCCCCCGATCTCCTCACCGCTGCCCTCTGCCGGGCGGGAGCAGCAATCTCCGGAGCCGCGGCACGAAGACCGCCGGGGCGCGGCGATGGGCAGGAGTCGGGGGACGTTTTCCTCGCACTCTTCCAGCACCTGGTCCAGGAGCTCCGAGTCCGAGTCGGGCTGCTCGAGCTGCAGAGAGGGGAGGAGAGGGGGAGTCCGGCCCGCAGCCCTGGCGTACGCCGCCTCTTCGTCGTCCGCCACGCCCTGCCGAGAGGGGGCGCTGTGCCTGGCGCTGCCCAGTCCGGGACTCGGCCAGTGCCGCGGCGGGCTGAAGGTGCCCGCCCTGCCCTCCCTGCTGCTGCCGGTGCCCATAGCGCCTTGAATTTCCGTGCGGTTGCAGCTGCTCGAAGCCGCTTGGTTCTGATTCTAAAGCCCAACTGTTGCGGCTTCCTGGCGGGCGGTGGCCCAAGAGGGTGGGATCCATCCTCGTTCCTTTTCCTTGTTTTCCCGCTTGTCCCAAGAACTTTCCTTGGGGTTTCAATCCCCCAAGTCCACCCCCACGAGATCTCCAGCCGCTCCCCCGCTCCCCACCGCAAAGTGCTTAAAAAAAAGGGAGAGAAAACGTACTTAAGTTTATTTAATTTTCTTATCCCCCCCCCTCTTTTTAATCCCAAGCATTTGGCTTTGGACAACCGTGCATGGGTGTAACCTCGGAGTGAGGCTAGATTTCAAATAGGGAAGGGAATGCCAAAACGCTGTACTTCGGCCCTAGTTAGCCTTAATTTAGCTGTACTGTTGATAGTAAAAAGCAGTAACAAAGGGGGTATCTAAGGATTCAAAATAAATGGGATTTTGCAATAAATATTGTGGGAAGTTTTAAAAATGAACCGATTTGTAATTTGATGATAGGGTACAAAGCATATATCTCAAGAGTACCAAAATGTTTTCTTTTAGTAACAGCTCAGGAATCCAGCTGGTTTGTGTTTTTAAAAGTTGGTCAACTTTTTTCGTTGTCTTAACCACATTTGTCAAAGTAATTGCACAATGATAGCTAGCCATTGTATGTGTCTCAATTTACATTCAATAGAGCATGCTTTGGAATAAAGGTGCTTTTGAATAACCCTTCCCCCTTGACTGCCTGTTGCTTTTTTATTTTAATAGCAGGGTTTAGAATGTGGAGCAAATTACAACAAAAATATATTTTAAGTATGAGAAGATTGTTATTACAAGCAAAGAAAACTATAGATCTGGGAGGGGAGATATGTTTGAGGAATATATAATTGCCTGATTATTGTGGATTCCAAAGATTAAAATTTGCTTCTGGGATTTCTATTTGCTTTACTGTTGTTCACTTTTAATATAGTTGAGAATTTCCAGAACACAGCTATGTCAAATTGCAGCGGTTTTTTTTCTGGGGAGGAAAAAAGAATAAAGGTTAGATTAGCATTGGAAAATCACTGCTTTTGGAAAAAGAGTTGGAAAACAGAAGCACCGAGGGGATTTGGACAGATTTTTACCAGCTGTGGAATAACACTGTTGTTTCTGGCTTTAATAACCTGATTGGATAAAAATAGATCTCATATAGCTATTTATGTAGACATGTCCCATTAGAAGTGTTTTTTGTCTGAAATGAGTTTGGCAACTGTACATTTTCCATTCTTTTCTTTGCACTTAGGAAATCTGAGAAGGGAGACTAGAGTGCATAGGCTTGGTCCCAATAAAAGAGACTTTCTTTGTATAGGCAGTCCTGGAGATATGACCATAATGGAGCCTTCCAAGTCACAACAGTCATTAGGTGAAGTGTCTCACGTAATGACTCCCCATTCCTGTTTTTCCCATTGTTAATGACATTTGCAATTAGTTAAGCAGAACGTGGGATGCCTTAGGGGTGGGGAGCCCTTGGAGGCCTAGCACAGCCTAGGCTTGCCTGCCCTGGCCCTCACAGTCTCCCCTATCCCTGAAAACACCCTGTGTTCTGTTTGCTGCCCCTTGGGTCCCCACAGGACTTTTCCCACTCCCACCGGGTCCCCCTTAGGCCTGATTCCCTCCCTACCAGGCTAAACACCCTCCTCATCCTCACTTATTTTTGAAGACCTCCAAGATCTTCCAGAGTGAAGCAATGGATTGTTTCTTTGGGTGGCTACGTGGCATGATTCTGGAAGTGGCGGCTGTATTCCGGTTGCCTCTGTGTGGCTGGGAAACAAACAGCTTTGTTTTGCTGCCTTAAGGTCTGAACAGCACTGTAGAAGCTTTCTGCAACATGCAGAAGCCCTTGCACTGCTGGGCAGACCTCATTAAGGCAGCAAAATTAAGCTGTTTGTCCGATGGCTGCCATTTTGTCCCTGCCCACAAGCAGACAAAATGGCTTATGTTCTGGTCATCACTGCGTGGCCCAGGGACATGTAGCTTTCCCTCATTCCCCAACATGGGTCCAGAAAGCTTCAAAAGTGCAATGGGTGATGGGTATGTGGGGAGCAGGCCCAAGCACTGTGGGGGCCCAGCAGGGTGGGAATGGAGACCGGTGGTGGGATGCTGCAGTGACCCTGGGGTTGGTCGTAAGGGTGAATGACCATAGGAACGCAGTTGTCGTAACTTTCAAACAAGGTTGTATGGAATATTGGGGTGTCTGTGGTCTGTTCGTTAAGTCACATTTTTCAGTGCAGTGTAATTTCATATGGTCACTAAATGAAAGGTTGTGATTTCCTAGGACTACCTGTATTTTGTGCTGGGTCTTAGATGCCAGATGTGTTAGGTGTTACCCAAATTAAGAATACCAATTCTTCATAGGCCCCTGGGTCCAAGTGTTCAAACTGTAACTCTGGCTTTCAGTGCAGAGAGAGGCTATTTGGTTTATAAATAGCCCAGCCACCTTGAATCCTAGAATTGGAAGGGGTCATTTTAACTACAAGGTCCATTGCCCTGCTCAGTGCAGGCAATTTGAAGGAAAGTATCTCTGAGATACTCTGTGGATCATTTTTTTGTCTCCTTTTATCACTATGTTTTCTTTTGCATAGTCAAAATCTCTTACTCTGGTACTGCAGTGAACCTGTTTGGGGATTGGCACTCACCACCTGAATTGTTAAAGGGAGTAGTTAGAATAAAAGGGCAGTAACTAAATATTTTAAAATCTAGGTATTCTTGGACTACGTATAGCTAAATATGCCAGACATAACTGAATCAGTGTGCAGCTTTCAAGCTAATGTTGGATAACCATTTGTCTGGAATGGTATAGGGCAGAGGTCCCCAAACTTGGGAACTTTAAGATTTGTGGACTTCAACTCCCAGAATTCCCCAGCCAGCATAGCATATCATAGCATAGCTGGCTGGAGAATTCTGAGAGTTAAAATCCACAGGTCTTAAAGTTGCCAAGTTTGGGGACCCCTGGTACAGGGTCTTTTTTAGCAGGGCTTGGACTAGAAGCTCTCCAAGGTTCCTTCCAACCCTGTTATTAATTCATTGCAAAGGGTTGGGGTTAGTGAGAATCTATGTACTACTATGGTAGTTCTGCTAGACTCTACTGTACAACCTTAGTTTGTCTGTTTATAACCTTCAGATGGGTGAAACAGTGCATCACAGAACATTTTTTGAATCAACACACTTCAAATGAGCTAACTTGAATCCAAATACAGGATCCATGACTCCAGTGGGATCAATATTGGGCAAAGTTGTGGCTGCTTCAACACTGTCATAGTCATGGGATTGTAATTTCCAACACTCCCTGCCAGTTTTCCTCAGTGAAAGTCAACGGTGAAACCAGCAGGAAGTTGGAGGTTGTTTCTGTCTCATCATGCCTTTGCCAATTCTGTTAATCATTTATTTTCTATGTTTAGGTAAGGAAATATCTCTGAAATGATGAGGCCTGGGTTGTTTAATAGCACATTTCATCAGAAATCTGATATAAATCGAACAATTTTGTTCCATCCCAGAATTAAGATAGTGAATGGTGTCATGTAATAGTTAGAAACAATGGGAGATCCTTGTCTTTGAACATTTTTTTTCTTTGTACAGTAGTGCAGAGCATGTTCATATTGATAAAATATTTTTGGAACTGCTAGATCAATAGATAGCATGTTGTACTGCAGCATGGGAAATTGATGGCTGTCCAAATGTTGAACTACAGCTTACGGTAGCTATAGCGATGAAGATTATGAGGCTATGCCATCAATGCAGCAAGTGGGGTGGTGATAATATGTGCACATGACATGGTTGTGCAATTGATACAAAATGTGCAATTGAACCGTGGTATCGCAATGGTTAAAATGCAGTATTGCAGGCTAATTCTGCCTACCACCAGCAATTTGATTCTCACCAGCACAAGTTGACTCAGCCATCCTTCTGAGGTTGGTAAAATGAGGACTCAGATTGTTGGAGTCAATATGCTGATTCTGTAAACCGCTTAGAGAGGGCTATAAAGCACCATGAGGCAGTGAACACTGTATAAGTGTAAGTGCTACTGCTATTAGTTGTGTCAGGTCATGAAGTAAAATTAAAGTATGTCATTTGTGAAATTTGTATTATAATATCATAAGAAACCCAATGTTATTTTGATGGCATCTTATCTATTAGGTATGTATATTTTGTTATTAGCTCAGCAGTATCTGGAAAACCACTGCTTTCTTCACTGCAACAGTACAAACTTGCCATCTATTAACTACAGAACCGAGATTAATTACTTAGTTTGCAATTAGAAAAGAAGGAACTACAATGCTGATTAAAATCTCCAAAAATTATCAATCAGATCAATGAAAATTGCATGTAAATTTTTGTTTCCATTCATGCGTTTCCCATCATTAGTCATGTGCAAATGTGTTCTTGAGGCTATGAATATTGCCCTTCTTGATCTTGATACATTTTATTTTTTTGGCTGGAAGAATAAACCTGTTTCACAGTGATTGCTCAAGCATCTCAGGGATTCAGAGGGTAATTCCCTTTGTGTGATACATTCCTCTCTAAATAGCATACTACCCAGAGATTAGCAGCAAAATACTCCAGCACACCCCCCCCTTTTTTTGGGGGGGGGGGGTACAGAAAGGCTGCAAAATCTGCTTCATCTTTTTCATCCATGCCAAGTTAAGGCAGCAACTTGTTCTCTCTGGAATGGATCCAGAAGCTCAAAATTCAGGAATGAATAACTAACCCCTTTCTTATTAGAATTTACACAGTATCTTGCAGATTATTAGGGGGGAGGGAGGGAGGGAGAGGGAGTGTATCGGCGTACAGCAAAATGTTCCGAAGATTATATGAATGAATGTTATTCACTATGACAATTACACTTTTCTTAAGTTATTTAGGAAGAATTGTATTTATCTAACTGGACTTATTGCCCTTGTTCTTTCTTGTGGCTAGGAACCGCACAAAGCTGCGTGTTTACACTATTAAATGCAAACAAAAGTTATAGAAATAATTGCTCCAGCAGATGTTTAAGACCCCCACAATCCTCTTGTATCAAATTCAGTGATGTGCTCCTTTGTGGATACAAAAAAATAACACAACATCCATTACTGAGATTGTTATAGATGTGTATGTATTAAATGATATACACATTAATTAAAATGAATGGATTTACAGTTGTAAGCACCAGGAATATCCATCACTGTTCAGTGGCTCTGGCTCAAAAAGTACTATTTGTAACCAGCAGCTTCAAACTTTCTTTGACCCATCACCTCTGCAGCAGATAGTGGCTCAGCAGTCCTAGATAAATTATCTGTCTGCTCCCCTCTTCTTCCATGGTTGCCTTTCACAAATTTCAGCAGATGACAAACAGCAGCTGGTGTAACTCCAGGGATGCGGCTGATAGCGCCAATCTAAAACCAGAGAAGGCAAAAGAGCAGGTTTTATAATGTATTTTTCGGACTATAAGATGCACTGGACTATAAGACACACCTAGGTTCAGAGGAGGAAAATGAAAAAAGAACAGATTTTTGCCTCCACACGTCCCGTTTTTGCCCTCCCCGGCATCCAGAAGCTCTCTGCAGGCTAAAAACGGGACCCCTTTTTGGCCTCCCAATCCCTCCACGCATCCGATTTTCAACTTCAGTACCATGGAGGGCAGAAACAGGCCTCACAGAGGCCTCTGCAGGTCAAAAACGGGCCCATTTTTGACCTGCAGAGTGCTTGTGGATGCTGGGGAAGGCAAAAACGGGATGCGCAGAGGGTTTGGGAGGCCAAAAACGGGCTCATATTCGCTGTATAAGACACACAGACATTTCCACCCACTTTTTTGTAGGGGAAAGTGCATCTTATGGTCCGACAAAACCTGTCATGAGGGTATTATATGCATAAAGACGAAGACTATAGAAACACCCAAAGACAGGGATTATGAAAATGACAGAGCTTACAGAAATGGTTAAAGCAACCTGTTTTATTCAAGAAGAAGCAATTACTACCTTTATAAAAGACTGGAAAACCCTTTATAGTCTTTTTTGCCGAGAATGGATAAAAATGAACTGGTGACGTCCAGATTTACTGTTTAAAAAGGGGTGTGTTTATGGGAAGAAGGTAACCAAGATGAACGATTTGGGATGGTGGGCATGATAACTATTATATCTGAAACATCTACAAAGTAGATTGGAAGTAAGTTTCTTTAGATATATTTCTCCTTATTTATTTCAAATAAAGGCAGACAGGTCATTGATTGAGGTCTACTTGTACATAACACCACATTTGAAAATTTCTAACTCTTCCAGGATACATATAATACTGGCTGTTTACACAGCATTCATTTAGCTTTCTGGCTCCTCCAGTACTTTACCGTTGGGGGGCGGTGGGCATCCAGTATCTCTCGCACTTCCTGGGATAGAGATACATCGATAGTGAGATAATCCAGGTCCTCAGGTAAATGAAGAGCCTCATCTTGACGTACTTCCTCTATTTCCAGCTTTTGATTGGCCACATGCAAACCATAAACAGCTTGTAGGAAAAGCCATGAAAATAATTAAAAAAAGAATCATTGAAGGAACAAAAATAGGGGACAGAAAAACAACAACCCTCAACTGTATACTCTGGCAATTGCTTAGGATTTCTGATGTATTACTTAAGGAAAATGGAGAATAAATGCCTTTCGAGTAATAACATCAAAAGAAAAGTAATGTGGGTAAGCTTGGCTTTTTTCAATGCCACAATTTAAGGTCTGGAAATAATTCCATTATATTCAATTTTACTTTTTCCATAGTTTATGTAATTAATTTCCTTCTGCGTTGCAGAAGAGAAGGAACAAACATTTTCTTTCTACAGCACCTGTTTTTCACAGAAATTCAGTGTGTCCTCAGTTTGACAAGAATTTACTACCTATGTCTTGGGCTAAATTGTTGCAAAAGAAATTCTATTACTATTATAATTATGTACCCACTCAATAAAATATTTCGTACCTTCTATTTTCAGCCTTTCTGCCAGCGATTTCCACTCAGTGATTTTTGTCATGGATTCTGGGAGAACTCTAGCTAAAACATCCATACTGACCTCTGGATTCTGTACCATTTCTAGAGCACTACACAAAAAAAGATATTAAGATATTACCATATTAAGCAGTAAAATAATCTCTAAATTTGTCACAGGAAGGCAGGTTATAACTTAAAAAAACTTAGTTAATTTCTACTTCCACAGAATTTTGAATTGTAGGTCTAAAACATTTTAAAAATCTACTAACAAATGGGGAGCCAATTTGGTTTAGTGATTAAGGCACCAAGCTAGAAAGCCAGAGACTTTGGATTTAAGCTCTACCTTAGTCATGAAGGCCAGCTGGGTGGCTTTAGGCCAATCTTTTTCTTTCACCCCAACCTACCTCATGGGGTTGTTGTAGTGGGGAAAATAGATGTGTTGGATATGTTCGCCACCTTGAATTATTTGTACAAATAATAAAGGCAGGATGCAAATAAATAAGTAAATTTAAAAAGCAACTACACACCAGAACTTGAGAAAAAAGAACTATATGAAACACCTTAGGAACAGCAAATTTATCAGAAATGAGCATATTATATTTGAAAAAAAAAAATCAAATGATATTTACATAAAGGAAAATATTAGAGCTCCCTGCATACTTTTGTCAAAACTATGAAAGAAATGTGCCATTGCAAGTAGTTCTGTCCCGTGTGTCATACATGGGACATGACATACATATAAAAGGGGTAAAACTGGCAGTACAATTTTATCCTCATCATTTATATATTCTTCTCCATGGAATTAAGGGCTCCCAATGGAATTTTATTGGTTGCTCTCTTGAAACAAACATAAATGTTCACATAAGAAAATAACACAGGGTAGCAGAGCTTTGGCTATATAATTCTATTTTAGTAAGTTGCCTGGAGTTATCCTGAGTGAGTGGGGCAGTTATATAAATTTTCTTAAAAAATAAATAACGAAAGTAGATCTACAAAGGAAAAACGAGTTATTTATATAATCTAACTGAAGTCATCAGCACACAGGCCCTGATTCTACTATCTTACTAAGGACCAGGTTACTTAAGGAGGGCCTTCTTTCATATTGGGTCTTCTCTTGAGGATCTTAAGATTTTCCAAGGGGGCTCTCCTTGAAATTTTCCCACCAAAGGTAAAGTGGATCTATACAAGGAAAGATGGCTTCCTCTGTGGTTGCATGTCATGTATAAAATGTCCTCCCCAGAGAGGCTCAAACAGCACTCA